ACAACGCTCAACAAAAAAGCAAATTAAAGGTAAAGATTCACTCTTTTGAAAGCTGTAAACTGCATTTGCATGCGATTTTTAATTCGCGCCATGGAACTTGTCAAAGTTCGTAAAAAATTTTGAAATTCGTCGGGTCTCCTTTTCTATCCGTGTAATTCCATGAAAGATCAGTAGGATCGTTTTCTAAAGTACCGATTTGGAAAGTAGAGATTTCAAGCTGTAAAATGCTTTTTTGAACATCTCGATACAATCATTTTTGACGAAGTTACACTCTCTTGAATTTTGCCTATTTTTGAAGGGTAGAGTAAGTGATGCTTTAATTTTGTTGAGAAGTGTATTAACTCAGCAATCGGCTCGGTCAGCGAAACAATAATACACGACGAAAAGTAGAATTGTGTATGTACATTTTTTTTCCTCAGGACGTTTACCATTGGATATTCAGCCAGCCGGATTCTCCAGCGAGTTTCGAGATAACAACGAGCTATCCTAGAAGAGTTCTCTATCCTTGTAGAGACATTTTGACTCTATCGGATGCCGGTTTAACCCATCGGGAGGTCCTTCACGTTAACGATCTAGACGACTAATTACGAATAATATTTCGATATATGACATTCTTCAAGTTCTAGTATCATTCCACGGGAAAAATGATACTGTCGTGAAAGACGCTTGTCAAGAGATACAAGCTCATGCAGCATACACACACATACACATACACACGCATGGCACACGCGCACACACACATAAATATATATATATATACATATACATATATATTTGATACATTCTAGTACTTTATGTGAGGTATACTTTATCGGATGAAAAATATGATTACGCGAAATATACCAAAAGATAGGAATCAAAAGAAGGGGGAAAAAGTGTGTCTACACATGCAGCTTATTTAAATTAACAATCGGTAAATTCGACCACCGCATTTATTTAAAAAAAATGCATTTCGTATTTAGTAAAGGAAGAAATCGATAGATAGGAATATATTAAAATTTTGTGTGTGTAAAAAAAAACTCGATCTCGTATAAAAAAAAAATTGTACAACAAAACAATTTTGTTTTTATATATCTCTGACACTAAACGGTGTCAACATTAAGAAGCGCTGATATGTATATTACGGACGGGAATTTCGCGACGCTTGGATAAATATTCCACGCGCCTGGGAATTTTCTTGTAAATTTGTCCATTTATTTCTCTGCGAGACACTGAATTTGTCTAATATAATTAAATATATATAAGAGGGGGGAGGGGGAGAGCAAAGCATTTTTTAATACATGTTTATTGTGCAATCAGTTCCTTGTAATTAACAGCAGGCGCTTTCGTTTGGATACTCCCGCGGTTCCAGAATAATAAACCGATATCAAGAGAATGGTTAATAAAATTCTATGAATTCCATGTACAAATTCTGAGAAAAATTTTTTACTGACTAATCAGGAGACGCGGTAGCGTCTCCCGCCAAGTATATTTTTTCGCTACATAACAATCAGGAAATATTTTTGTACTTACAGAGACGCTACAGTGTATCCTTTACCGGACGGATAACGTTTCTATAGCA